GAACAAGGCGATAATCTGGACACCTATGAACACGTGGAACAAGGCGATAATCTGGACACCTATGAACACGTGGAACAAGGCGATAATCTGGACACCTATGAACACGTGGAACAAGGCGATAATCTGGACACCTATGAACACGTCAGGGATCTCCTCTAGGCTCACATCACTTAGCAGGAACATCTGAGGCATCGCAGAGTCTGCCGTTTGTCCGTAGCCCCTTAGGGCTCGGAGACACACCTCATTCTCACAGAGGTTTAAGATTCACATGAGGGTTGAGGTTCACGTCTCTATCAAAGCCAGACAAAGTGTATGTTTCTGTTAAGCGGCCCTGAAGGGCTCCTCCTATCAGATGGACCGTTTGAGTGCTTTGCTTCTGCTGGTGAATTTGCAAAGAGGGTCTCTATACACCTGCCATATGATGGGGGGTTGTGTCAGGAGGTGGGATTTTTGCACAGCACAATTTTCATGATGCTTAATGCAAGAGGTGAGCTTTTTTGATTTTAGAAGAAGTATTTCTTGGCTAGCCTGTGGCACAAAGACATGCAGCTCTGAGAAAGACAGCAATATACAGTAGACCTCAGTGGCCTAATTGCAGAATCAACATATTTATTAATGCTGTCAGCCAAATTATTCCCATGGAATTTGGAAATTTGGGATTGAAAAAGTATTTTTTATTTAACGTTACAAGGTTTCAAAAGATATTATAGTATAGTATAAAGAGTTTATTGGACACACACATATAATGGATATTTTATCATAGATTTCTATTTTATTAATGTTGATTAATTGAAATTATAAAATCAAACCCAATTTGCGTTCTTATTAAGGTTGAGAATTATTGTATTGCATGTCAGCACTAGTAGATTTTTTACATTTAGTTATGAATCGCTATGGTAGCTAGCTGGTATGTGACTGCCGCAAATGGAATTTAATTTGAAGTTATATAAAATTTTATTGTCCATAAGTGCGTTTATTGTTGTGATGGTGTCTTGGGTCGGTATGTGAAACTGAACCAACGGAAAACAACAGACCAAACTGAACTGAGAGGTGCAGAGCTCAGGCTGCGAATGGCAGGTTTGTTCGCAAAGGGACACCGTGTTCAGGAGCACGGGAAATCTTCTGAACATCGGGCCAACACAATCTGACAAGAAAACACAAAAAACAGAACAAAGCTGCCATTTTGGCAAGCACACAGGTTAAAAAAAGACAAATAGTGAATTTGGAGATGTGGATAAAAGAAGTCACAGTAGGCACCTCGCCGCCGCGAGTGTCCAGCCCAGAAGTTCAGTGTCTAGGGGACAGAAAAACATACAGCGGCAAATTAAAAATGTCTGGAACGAGGGCAAATGTAAGCAGAAGTATCACCCATAATCACTGTCACCTGACTGTCCCTCTAAAGAGAGTCACCTATTAATTTGTTTGAAAAAGAGTGGTTTTCTTTTCATAATTAATTTGATTAAACACAATAATGAAATGAAACCATCAACTGTGTGAATATGTTTCCAGTAAGGGATTTGAACTTTTGACAGTCAGGCTACATTCTGGACACGTAGAAAATAATTACGTTACCTCGAAATGTGCTCTGACAGCAGTGTGCTATGAAAACTGGGAAAAGGGAAGCAAATAATGTAACACAAGGGCATTCAAAGTCATACGACCTGTCGACATGTAGCTGAGTTAGCTAAGCTAATGCGAGCCTGTTACCATGGTGACACCTCTGGTGTCAAGGCGAGAGTCTGATAAGTTCCATAAGCTGCAGGAACCAACCTTTAGCGCAGGAGTATAACCCTTTTGCTGGATACACGTGTTACGCGTAAATAATTCCTTAGTAGCAGTGTGTTTAGGGAAAATTAGGTGAGGTCCTTCAAAAAAATTATAGGTAAACAATCGGGTCCTTGTAGAGCAATTTTTCCCTCAAAATTTGAAACGGCACTCAAAGGCATTCAATATAGCGAGGTCATTATTATGGATGCAAAGAACAGTCTTTTAATAGACTATAAATGCAGCCGTGGTCAAGAGATGCAGATGCTGGATACTTGTTTCATGGGAGATGCTGATATAAACATCCCAGGTGTGTAACCTGTGAACAGACAACTACAGAACTGCAATACTAACACAAGTAAATCCAACAAAGTCTTATTTACAAAGATTGTTATTGATCTATATAGACAGTCAAGGAAACCATGAACTTTTTTTTTTGTTGTGTATAAAAAAAAAATTGTACGTATTAATTATACTGTACATTCTAAGTGTAACTAAGACTGTAATAATTCTAAAACTGTCTGACACTGTGAACTAGGTAAGAATTGATATGGTGCTGGGAAAGCTGAATTAATCAACTTTACACAACAACCCACGGAATTTCTGCTGCTTTTGTGTGGGTTTGGCAAGTTTCTCACAAAGAAAAATAATTTTAGCAAACACTCCTATCTGTGAAGTTCTTCTGATGAGTTGTGAATTTAAGGCGAGAACTATGCCATGAAGACTATCAGACTTTCAGAGAAACTCAAATAAAAAGTAAATGAAAGGCACCAATATAGATATATAAAAATATCAAAGTATCCCCAGAAGGAAATATATTCAGGTATTCACGTATCTCAAACACCCGACTTTTTCCAAACTTGAGAAAATGAAAACTCTCAGAAAACTACTTTGTTCACTGAGTCCATATTACTTATCTGAAGTATTCTGGTTAACTGGAATCACAAGGCAGTTAGAATGAACTCATTATTAAAAATAAAACTTACTCCAAGCCCAAGCGGAGCAGTTAGATAAGAGAAACATCAAGAAGAAGAGAAGGAGAAATTGATTCAACAAAATACGGCCAAATTTTAAAAGAAAAGCTGGTTGCGTCTGGTAACGTCTTACAGCCTGGTCTCAGATCAGTGCTAGTTCACAGGCGTCGGTTATGCAGAGGTGCTTAGTTCACGCTTTAATGCAAAGAACATACAAGAGATACAAGATAAAAGATGCTTTATTTGTCACATACATGGTAGTGAAATGTATAAGATGTAGTGAAGTGTACCCTGAATGACCCTTAGACTGTGCAAATCAAATCAAAAATACAATTAAGAATAAGTCAAGTTAAAAAGTTTGTACACTGAACACTGAAGATGCTTTGATGTATTTTTTTTCTGGGCTGATTCAGTTTAAGTT